ATACATGGGTTAAAATTTGACTGATTTTTTTTTGTCCGAAAATCGGACCTAAGAATAATCAGTCGATTTTCGCTCTGTTAGTGGGTCAATGGTACTGGCCAATTTTCGTGGTTCCTCCCCTTTTTGGTGATCGGGCATGTTGGAAAATTCATGAAAAACGACTCATTGATGGGCAAAGCGTACGGTTTTTCCGAAAAGAATATGCGCATGAGCTGTAACCTGGAAGGAACAGAAGTTTCGCCTGTTATAAAGGGGAAAACTTTGACTCAGTCGGACGATTGTCGAAATCATTAATGGCGCCATTGGATTAACGAGCGAACGACGTTTTCTATTTTCGGACGAAAAATCGTTCGGAATTCGACCCATGTATGGCCTGCATTAGACCCAAAGGGGGATATTTACTAAAACTGGAGAGTTCACAATCTGGTGCAGCTGTGCATGGGAGCCAATCGGCTTCTAACTTCAGCTTGTGCAGTTTAAGTGGTTCTAAAGCCTCCAGGTAGTGGTGCAACAAAATGAAAATTCTGGTGCCGAAAACAAAAATTCAAAATGCACTTGCCCGAAAACCGAAATGCAGTTTTTAAAAATGAATATAGATTTTTTGGAAAAAAATTCACTGATTAAGAAAAAAAAAAAAAACAACAATGTATACCCCATTTTGTTGTAAAATATGAAGATGTTACGGCGAGTAAATAGATGCCCAACATGTCACACTTTAAAATTGCGCACACTCGTGGAATGGTGTGAAACTGCGGTACTTAAAAATCTCCATGGGTGACGCTTTAAAAATGTCTCCAGGTTAGCAGTGTAACGTTACAGAGGAGGTCTTGTGCGAGAATTACTGCTCCGACGTTCGTGGCGATACCTCACGTGTGGTTTGAACACCATTTACATATGTGGGCATGGCTTACGTATGCGTTCACCACTACGTGCGAGCACGGGGGGGGGGGGGGGGGGGCACTTTAAACTTTTTTTTTTTTATCTAGTGGTTTTTGTATTTTTTTTTTTTGCACTGTCCCTTTAAAAGTTTTAATCACTTCTATTCTTATTACAAAAACTGCACGCGTCCCTTTTGATAGAAATAGTGACAGGTCCTCTTTATGGAGAGATATGAGGTCAATAAGACATGATTAGTGACAGGTCCTCTTTATGGAGAGATATGAGGTCAATAAGACATGATTAGTGACAGGTCCTCTTTATGGAGAGATATGGGGTCAATAAGACATAATTAGTGACGGGTCCTCTTTATGGAGAGATATGGGGGGGGTCAATAAGACATAATTAGTGACAGGTCCTCTTTATGGAGAGATATGGGGACAATGAGACATAATTAGTGACAGGTCCTCTTTATGGAGAGATATGAGGTCAATACGACATGATTAGTGACAGGTCCTCTTTATGCAGACATCGGAGGGTCAATAAGACATGATTAGTGACAGGTCCTCTTTATGGAGACAGCGGGGGGTCAATAAGACATGATTAGTGACAGGTCCTCTTTATGGAGACATCGGGGGGTCAATAAGACATGATTAGTGACAGGTCCTCTTTATGGAGAGATATGGGGTCAATAAGACATGATTAGTGACAGGTCCTCTTTATGGAGAGATATGGGGGGGTCAATAAGACATAATTAGTGACGGGTCCTCGTTATGGAGAGATATGGGGGGGTCAATAAGACATGATTAGTGACAGGTCCTCTTTATGGAGAGATATGGGGGGGTCAATAGGACCCCCACATCTCTCCTCTACAATGTAAAGCATTGGATAAAAAAAAAAAAAAACACATTGATCTAGTGCTTAAAAAAAAGCCAGAAGTGACATCGCTCTGGTCCTCCAAGGGCATAGAGATGAGTGGAGGCCATCTTTCCTTCAGTCATCTCTATGCCCAGCGCCGGGATCATTCGATGGTTTCTCAGGTAAGCCTGAGAACTACCAAGCAGCGGCGGTTGGGCGGTGGGGTTTTTTCGGCACCTGTATCAGCGCTCTTTTTCATTTCGGCAAACGGCCAAAAGGGTGTTTTCGGCCGAAACATTTTTGGCCACCAAAATTTCGGTGCATCCCTACCTTAAGTTTTTTTTTTTTTTTCTTATCTTGACCACTTCCGGATCATCAAACTAGACTAGAACGCCTCAGTTTTGTGGTGTCCACATTCCAGATTTTTCTTCACTTCCTGCCGGGTGAAATGAGCCTCTGATTGCAGCAAGAACTACACAGACGTTGTACTCCTTCCCCACTCCATCCAAAACACAGAAGGACCCCCTCCCCATCAATACCCTCACAGAGACATGCAGATCCGTGTGCTCAACACTTCACACGTAGACCTACAATTCAGGTTATTCATTTGGGCCTTTTTCAGGAGGCACCTGTGAGGGATCCAGGGCCCCCTGGGAAGGCTACATCACCAGCGTCTTCCGGGGACTTCCGACAACTTGTCTCAAGATCTCAGGGAAGTCCATAATACATATCAGGCCTCATTCACATGGGTGTAGTTCAGCGTGGGGGGCCATGTTTACGCACATGTGGATGCACAGGTGTCCCGTGCAGTGGACACTCCCTTTCCTGTCAATTGGGATGCACCTAAATTTGACATCCGTGTGGGTGCAGGTCACATGATTGGTCACAGCAGGTCACATGGTACTGGCAACAGGGGCCGGTACAGAAATCAGTCATCAGCCGTGTCCAAGGTACGCGGCCAGTGACAGATCTCAAGCCGTTTATAACTCCGCCCCAAATTCCATCACCGATCTTGTCTCTAAATATCACCCAAACCGTCCTCTCCGCTCCACGCACGACCTCCTGCGCTCTCCCTGGTCTCCTCCTCCCATGCTCGTCTCCAGGACTTCTCCAGAGCTTCCCCCATCCTCTTGAACTCTCTACCCCAATTTATCAGACTATCGCCTACTCTGCTCACTTTTAGGTGATCTCTGAAAACCTCTCTCTTCAGGGAAGCCTATCCTGCCCTCAGCTAATAATGGAATCTTCTATTCCTCCTACCAGTCCATCCCCCACAGCTACTACCTTTTGTACCACTAGCCCCTCCCTCTTAGACTGTAAGCTCCCAGGATCAGGGCCCTCCTATCCCTCTTGTATTGAACTGTATTGTTGCTGTATTGTCTCCCGTTATATTGTAAAGCGCTGAGCAAACTGTTGGCGCCATAAATCCTGTATAATAATAATAATAATCTCGCCACTGCGCGGCCCTGCGGGCATGCACGTTCCACAATGGACGCCATATGGCGTCCACGCTGAGGGAGGAGCTGTTCGCCCAGCCGCCATCTAGCTACAGGCTGGGCGGCAACTGGTTAAAAAAGCAAAACGCACTGTGAAATCGCCCAATCCGCATAGATGGGAACCTAGCCATTGGGAGAGTCTCCCTCCATATTTGTCCTTTTTACCATTATCATTGAAAGTGAAAGTAAAATAAAATCACAAATTTCAGGTTCTCCCCAGAAATGTCCCCCAAGGAATTCCCTTAAAAATTTGCAGGGATTTCCTCTCACTTCCTGTTTTGGCTATTAGACAGGAAGTGAAATCTTCAAAAAGGGGACACAGATGGTGAAAAAGAAAAAAAAAAAATCTGATGGGTTTAAAACAGGGGTGGGCAACTGTGGCCCTCCAGCTGTTGCAGAACTACAAGTCCCATGAGGCATTGCAAAACTGACAGTTACAAGCATGACTCCCAAAGGCAGAGGCATGATGGGACTTGTAGTTCACCAACAGCTGGAGGGCCACAGTTGCCCACCCCTGGTTTAAAACCAGTTATTACTATATCCAAAAAAAAAAAAATAAAATATTTTTGCCTATAGTTCTACTTTAAGATTTGCCGACAACCACGGCCAATGATTTGATCTCTGACACTTATGTCAATTTTTTTTTTTTAAGAACATTTTTTTTATGGGGAAGCCGCCATTTACTTAACAGTCAGAGGCCCAGAGCCGCATAGAAAAAAAAAAAAAAGAAGACAACTGACAAGATACAAAATGGGTTTACAGTAGGAGGATTCTTTGTCATTTCTGCGTAGAAAAGGAACGGCGTGGGAGATCTCATAGGAGGACACACATAGGAGATGTACAGATGGGGTGCAAGTTCTCCGTCTAAAAGGGCCGTCCTCAGGGCCGGATTTACAGTCAGCCACAGTGGGGCCGGTGCCTACAGGAGATGAAACGGCGGCTTCTCTCTGGACGGTAGTCGCAGCTCGGCCTTTTTCCGCCATCATCAGCAGGAATATCCATGTAAGAATTTTTTTCTCGCCCAGTGTCTGAAGATTCGGAGTCTGGTCAAGACCAAGAAAACCAGGACGTGTCCCATGGAAAAACAGTGATTCTGACAAAACGGGAGTCAATCAGGGCGCCAGTTGTGAGGCACCAGGTTGCAGTGATGAATCGTTCCCTGGATGTTATACATTATAAAGTGACAATGCTCGTATCTGAGGGGAGGGTCCCCAAGGAGCACCGCCGCCGCCAAGAGCAGAAGGTCCCCAAGGAGCACCGCCACCGTCAAGGGCAGGAGGTTCCCAAGGAGCACCGCCACCGTCAAGGGCAGGAGGTCCCCAAGGAGCACCGCCGCCAAGAACAGCCACTGAAGGGAGGGTCTCTAGCAGCTCAGCCGCTGTTGGCAGGGTGGGCCTTAGGAGCACAGCCGCCAATGACGTGGGCCCCAGGAGCACAGCCGCCAATGACGAGGGCCCCAGGAGCACAGCCGCCAATGACGAGGGCCCCAGGAGCACAGCCGCCAATGACGAGGGCCCCAGGAGCACAGCCGCCAATGACGAGGGCCCCAGGAGCACAGCCGAACCAGGAGCACAGCCGCCAATGACGAGGGCCCCAGGAGCGCAGCCGCCAATGACGAGGGCCCCAGGAGCGCAGCCGCCAATGACAAGTGAGGGTGCAAAAAGAGATTGCCTGTGAACCTTAAAAAGATACTAAAAACGGGTCCTTCGGCCCACCCCTCTCCTAAATCTGTAGATCTCCTTCATCCACGGGTGTAGCCAGGCGACAGATCTAAGTGTCAATCAGCTGCAGTCTGCTAATCCGATTGGAGGCTTTGGTGAAGGACTGGTGACGATTGCACAGCACGGCCAGGCATATGGGGATGATGCAGTAGCCCACGGTGCGGGGGTCGGCCCTGGTGCAGGAATACAGGAAGAGGAACACCTGGAAGTAGGGCAGTAGGAAAAGGGCGGCCCAGAGCCAGAAGGGCAGAGAGAGGAGCCGCGCCTTCAGGGAGTGAGTCCACGAGGCCTCGCTGCTCTCCGGATCCTGCGGCTTCACCTGGACGTGCTCCAGGGCCAGTCTGTTGTACGTGTCGTTGATCTCAAAGACGTAGTAGTAAAAGGCGGCAGCGCTGGCGAGGAGGTAGAGGGCGACTCCAATCCATCCCATCCTCTGTCGAAAGTTCATCATTCTCCATGCTCTGCGCCTGTGGGGACAAAACAGGTCATGTGATTAGCATACAGCGCTGTACCATTACCCACAATTCCTTCATTTATGGTGGGAACCCCTCATAATGGGCACAGTGGGTGTACAGACCCGGGAACTCGGCTGAGGGATGGAGGGAACCCCTCATAATGGGCAAAGCAAGCGTACAGACCTGGGAACCCCTCAATTGGCACAGCAGGTCTACAGATCCAGTAACTCAGCACAGGGATGGAAGGAACCCCTCATAATGGGCACAGCGGGTGTACAGACCCAGGAACTCGGCTGAGGGATGGTGGGAACCCCTCATAATGGGCACAGCGCATGTACAGACCCGGGAACTCGGCTGAGGGATGGTGGGAACCCCTCACAATGGGCACAGCGGGTGTACAGACCCGGGAACTTAGCACAGGGATGGAGGGAACCCCTCATAATGGGCACAGCAAGTCTACAGATCCAGTAACCCAGCACAAGGATAGTGGGAACCCCTCATAATGGGCACGGAGGGTGTACAGACCTGGGAACTCGGCACAGGGATGGAGGGAACCCCTCATAATGAGCATGGAGGGTGTACAGACCCGGGAACTCGGCATAGGGATGGAGGGAACCCCTCATAATGGGCACAGCAGGTGTACAGACCTGAGAATTAAGCACAGGGATGGTGGGAGCCTCTCATAATGGGCAGAGCAGGCATACAGACCCAGGAACTCAGCACAGGGATGGTGAGAACCTTCATAATGGCCACAGCGGGTGTACAGACCCAGGAGCTCAGCACAGGGATGGTGGGAACCCCTCAATGGACATAGCAGGTGTGCAGGCCAGTACTTTCCAGGTACAGAGGGGCATGTGACAGTGCTGGGCCAATCAGTGCTGTCACCTGGGAAATCCACAGTCCTGTTTAAGTGAAGACTCCGATGTCATGTAGCCCACAAAGGAATTTGTATCTAAATGGCTGCATGTGATGGCGGGAGAGCCTATGGGAAGGCTGGGGTGGGAAGGTTGGGTAAGGCAGAGCCGTCCCCTGGCCCTTCATGGAAGAAGCACAGGTCCTCTTTGGGGAAGGCGGCTCCCAAGCAGATCTTTATCAAACAATCCCTCAACACAGCAGCCAGGAACAGGATGAGTCTGTCATCTGTCTCGTGAGCCGTGGCGTCACATGACCCGAGCAGTCACATGGTGTAACGGCTCGTTTCGCAAGATGGAAAGTTTATCCAGATCATCAAAGATCTAACCTCAGTGTAACAGAGATTAGAAGCCAACTGAGCTGGCTGGGGGGGCAGGGAGGGCGACTCCGGCTTCAGCCTCATATACACTTTTTTGGGGTTGGAGTTTGTACGGTTCAGTAAAAAAGTCTTTTTTTTTTTTTTTTTGCATCTTTTATGTGGTCAGTGTCTGATGGAAGAGGAGTTCCCCGCCAACAAACCCAGATATGACCCCGGCCATCTTTAACCCTTTTGCTTCCATATTTTTGCACAAGTCTTTAAAAACGCAGTTGTTTACCTGTTAACTGTATTTCCAGGAATCTTCCAGGACAGCTTCACATGAGATAGGCTCCTCCCACCAGATTCACTTTTTTTAATAAAATAGCCTCTCCATCCCTGAGTCTTCAGTGTAGAAATAGAACCGAAGGTCCAGGATAGAGCACAAATATAACTGTGGCCAACAATATGTGTACAGTCCATACATGACCCACCACCAGATCACAACTGTACTCCAAGTCAGGAGGGAACTACACTGTCCTGGAAGATTCCTGGAAATACAGTTAACAGGTAAAGAACTGCGTTTTCCCGAGTCATCTTCCAGGACAGAATAGGAATACGTACATTAGGGTGGGACTGCTGCTTGCAAGACCTTCCTGCCAAATGACTGTTCTTTGTTGGAGATCAGGTCTAACCGGTGGTGTCTGGCAAATGTGCTGAAGCTTGACCGTGTTGCAGCCCTGCAGATCTGTCCAGGGGAGGCTCCAGCTTTCTCTGCCCATGTAGCTGGGGTGGCCCTAGGTGAATGAGCCTTCAAGCCAGATGGTGGCGTTAGTGCCGAGGTTTTGGATCCTTCGGAAGTAGCTTCCTTTAGCCACCTTGCAACAGTGCCTTTAGAGGCTTTGGAACAAGACAAAGAGGCTGGACAAATTTCTCCACTCCTTTGGGCGCTCGATGTACTCAAGTAGGCATCTTCTTACATTGAAATCGTTATGGTCTCCTTCCTTGGTGATGCTTGAGGTCCCACACAATGATGGTGGCTCAAAAGGAACAGCTCTAAGAAACGGGAGCCAAAGTCCTAAACAGGGCATTTGGATGTACATGGGTTTCTACATCTAGCGATGTTGGTCTGCTAAGCAAGTGCAGATGCCCCTTCAGATGAACCACAATGGTTCTTCCTTAGGTTTCCCTCTGCCCAAACTAAGAGGGTTTCTGCCAGTTCCATTAGTTTAGGTGACCTTGTGCCTCCTTGTCAGTTTTGGTATGCGATTGTGGTCATGTTGTTCGACAAGACTTGAATCTCTTTCCCTATTTATTTTTTTCTGGAAGGCCTTAAAAAACTGCCAAATCTTGAAACTTCTCAGAACTGCTCCTAAGTCCCAGACAGGGCATTTGGATGTACATGGGTTTCTACATGTAGCAATGTTGGTCTGCTAAGCAAGTTCAGATGCCCCTTCAGATGAACCACCATGACCGACCTTAGGTTTCCCTCTGCCCAGACTAAGAGTTTCTGCCAGTTTCATTAGTTTAGGTGACCTTGTCCCTCCTTGTCGGTTTAGGTACACAATTGTTGTCATGTTGTTCGACAAGACTCGAATCTCTTTCCCTATTTATTTTTTCCTGGAAGGTCTTAAGTGCTTTGAAAACTGCCAATTCTTGAAACTTCTTAGAACTGTTCCGTGTACATCCAAATGCCCTGTCTGGGACTTGGGAACAGTTCTAAGAAGTTTCAAGAATTGGCAGTTTTCAAAGCACTTAAAGGCCTTCCAGGAAAAAATAAATAGGGAAAGAGATTTGAGTCCTGTCGAACATGACAACAATTGCGTACCTAAACCGACAAGGAGGCACGAGGTCACCTAAACTAATGGAACTGGCAGAAACCCTCCTAGTCTTGGCAGAGGGAAACCTAAGGTTGATAGTGGTGGTTCATCTGAACTTGCTAGGAGACCAACATCGCTAGATGTAGAAACCCATGTACATCCAAATGCCCTGTCTGGGATTTGGGGTTTCTACATCTAGCGATGGCCCTCAGGAGTCTGATTACCAGGGAATCCTCTGCTACCTTTAATTCCAGGAAATTAGCCAACGGAGTTACTTGGACCTCAAGTGTGTTAGCCCCTACGTTCTTATCTGCTCCTGCTTGTAGAAATACAAATACTGTCGTAATAGGTGTCCCTGGCAACCAGTTTTCCACATTTTGCCATAAATGGTGTTTGTGGACTTTTTCTGCCCACTTAAAAATGGTGACGACCACCTTCTCTGATAATCCTTTTCTGGCTAGCCTTTGCTGCTCAGAAGCCAAGTTGCGAATGACAGCTTCTCCGGGTGTGGGTGTAACACCTCTCCCTTTATTAGTAGGTCCTTCCTGGGTGGTATCCATGGATTCGTTAAGCTCAACTTCTTCAGGAAGGAAAACCATGGCCTTTTTGGCCAAAATGGAGCAATTAGGATGACTTTGGCAAAAGACATCTGCATCTTCTGTACGACTCTTGGTAGTAGTCTGAGGGGTGTAAAGGAGGTCTCTACCCATGTCTGAGCCAATGTGTCTGTGCCTGTGCTTTGAGGGTCTCTTTGAAGGCAGAAATACTTCCTTAGTTTCGCGTTCCTTCTGTTGGAGAAAAGGTCTATAGGAGTGCCCATCTGCTGCAGACTTGGGCAAACGTGTGGCTGAGGCACCACTTCGATGGGCTGACTTCTCTACTTAGTTGGTCTGCTAGCAAGTTCAGATGGCCCTTCAGATGAACCACCATGACTGACCTTAGGTTTCCCTCTGCCCAGAATAAGAGGGTTTCTGCCAGTTCCATTAGTTTAGGTGACCTCATGCCACCTTGTCTGTTTAGGTACACGATTGTTGTCATGTTGTTCGACAGGACTTGAATCTCTTTCTCCATTTATTTTTTCCTGGAAGGCCGTAAGCGCTTTGAAAACTGCCAATTCTCTGAAATTTGAGGAGCTTCTTACAGTCTCTGGGTCCCATTTGCCTTGACTGCAAAGTAAAACAAAAAGAAAGCGCACCAACCTTTACTTCAGTAATCCATAATTTTATTAAATTCAGAATAATACTCACAAACAACGAAGTAAATCAAGCATACAAGTCCTCAATGGAACTTTAAAAGTGTGAAGCCGGTGAAAGTCACATCGTAGGGGTAGATCCACAGAGTACGGCTGACACGTTTCGAAAAGGGTCCCTTCTTCATCAGAGCTTTTTGTTTCACTTTGCAGTACTGGTCGGGCTTCCCCAGCCTTGCTTAGAGCTGCACAACCTTATATGCATTGGTGGTCGAATTTTTCAAGTTCTGGTTCCATCCATGCACCCTAGCTCTGGGTCATAGAGCGCAGGAGAGGTTGTTTCTGGTTCTACTCCCATTTGCCTTGAGCCAGACAGCCCTTCATACTCGCACCCCCACGCGCTTGCATCGGTTGTGATTTATGTTGGATTGGATTGTTTCCATCTCCTTCCATGTTCCAACTTTGGTATGTTGCTTCACCAGCTCAGCGACTCCCTCACTTTGTGCGTGAGGCGAATGCTGGAGTCCAGAGAGGTTTGGCTGGTGTCCCAGAGGGAGAGAACATGATTCTGTATTGTCCTGGCGTGCAGTTGCGCCCATTTTATTCCAGGTATGGCTGCAGTCATTCATCCGGTAAGCTTCATGGCATCGCTGACTGTAGAGTCTGATGCCTCCCGAAGACTCTGTGTTTTGTTGCAGTTTGAGAGCCTTTTCTGGTGTCGGCTATAAAACAGGCGCTTGTTGAATCCAGAATATATCCCAAATATGCAATTCTGTTGGA